TGAGGGAGGCGTCTCTGCAATTCCTTACGTTTAAAGTGGTGTTCCTCGTAGCTGTCACATCGGCAAGACGGATATCTGAAATAGCAGCTCTATCTGTTAGAAAGGATCTCTGCATTTTCCACGCGGATCGGGTGGTCTTGCGACCAGATCCTTCCCTCTTACCTAAGGTCAACTCCGCTTTCCACAGGTCACAGAAACTTATTTTGCCTAATTTTTGCCCCAGACCTTCTCGAGAAAGGAAAAGGCAGTGGCACACTCTTGATGTCCAAGGGGCGCTTTGTATATATATCCATCGTACTCTTTCTTTCAGGAAGTCAGAGTCATTGTTCCTGTCATTTCAACCAAAGACGCTGGGTTTCAGAGTATCCCCGTCTACCATAGGCCGTTGGATCAGAGCTACAATCTCCAAGGCCTATTTAACACAGACGCTTCCTGTTCCTAGTGGAATTACCGCACATTCTACAAGGAGTGCGGCTACCTCAGCAGCCTGGGCTACCCAGGCTCCGATAATTGATATCTGCCGAGCAGCTACATGGGCGCCTCCGTCTCCCTTTATCCGCCATTATAAAATTGATGTCTTTGCTTCAGCAGAAGCGTCCTTTGGCAGGCGAGTCCTTCAACAAGTGGTTAGAGACCCAGAGGAGATTCCAGCCCAGATGGAGTCCCTCCTGTAGGACAGGCCATGCTTTGGTATGTCCCACTCTGGATGCTCTACGCAGCTCTGTGGAGAATGGGCGTTGGTCCTTACCTGATACGCCCTTTCTCGTTGAGCTGCGTAGAGCATCCAGCCCCACCCTAATTCGTCCGTCTGGTGGGGAATCCTGTTTCGGCCAATGATTCAGGCACTTTATAGTTGAGAGTTGTTCAAACGTTAAGAAGAGGGGATGCAATTCTGTCTTCTCGTCTTCGTAAAACTGGGGAACGCTACGGAGGAGTCACGTGGAGGAGGAGGAGCGTTCCTCAATTATAGCTCAGCCTGTGAGAGCGAAGACTGAAGCACCTCCCACTCTGGATGCTCTACGCAGCTCGACGAGAAAGGGCGTATCAGGTAAGGACCAACGCCCAATTTCAATTAATTCTGAATTTAATTTATTGGTCATCCGTGTCATATCGAGTCTCGACCATGATTTATGCCAATTAGAATAATATGTATATTGTTTTTTCTCCAAATTTCTTTCTCTCCATGGGTCACAAATACTAAAATCCTTCCTGAAATCAAAAAAACTTTTTGGTAATTTCTTTTTTTTTCTAACTTTGTATTGTTTCCCTTATAGTCTAACAATTTGTCAACAACTGCATTAAAGTCCCCCATTATACAGATTTCTTCATATTGTAACTCTTTGAGTCTACAATACAATTTTGGAAAAAAGATTCTTGTGGGCCCTTCGGTGCGTATATTACTACCAATAGGATCTTTCTATTTCCTAATTCAATTTCAACCATCAAAATCCTACCCTCGTTATCTTTATGAATTTCTTTAGCAGGGATGCATTCCTTTATATAAAATGCTACCCCTCTTTTGTACATCAAGAGCAGAAAAAAATTTCCTTAATATTTTATTTTCTAATAAATATTTTTGTTTTTCTAAAATATGTAGTTTCTGAAGTGCTATTATGTTGACCTTTAATGCCTGTAAATTTTAAAACAATTTTTTCCTTTTTACTGGGGAGTTTATGCCATTAATATTCAATGATATCAGTTCACACCTATCCCAATTTTTATTGATTCCTTTGTCTAGTGCTTCTTGTAATTCTAATCTTCTTAGGTTCTTTATTTTTCTCTGTGGATTCACTTCTTCCATTTCTTTTTTCTTTATTAATTACTAACATATGGTAGCCTTTTGTTATATATTTGTCCCAGAGCCCTGGTCTTGAACTTCTACATGTCACCTTTTGCTGAGAGGGAGGAGTTATGAGCCCCAGTGTACCTTGAACCCTTCCACATCTATGTTCTTCAGTGAAGCTGTGCTGAAATGGAATATCTTACTGCATGAAGCACAGTTCATGTTATTGTGGAACAGTATTTCTCAGCCTTGGGAACTTGAAGAGGTATGAACGTCACTTTCTAGTTAAAGAATGATTGCTGGAACTGGGTATGTCTAGTTTGCTGAAAAGAAGGACCAAAGGTGACATGATAGTGCTAAAATCTCAGGGGCTGCCACAAAGAAGAGGGAGTCAAGCTATTCTCCAAAGCACCTGAGGACAGGACAAGAAGCAATGGGTGGAAACCAATCAAGGAGAGAAGCAACTTAGAAATCAGGAGAAATTTCCTGACAGTTAGAACAATTAATCAGTGGAACAACTTGCCTCCAAAAGTTGTAAATGCTACAACACTGGAAGTTTTTAAGAAGTGATTGGATAACCATTTGTCGGAAATGGTATAGGGTTTCCTGCCTGAATGGGGTTGGACTAGAAGACCTCCAAGGTCCTTTCCAACTCTGTTATTCTAATAATTCTAGTTGACGTTCATACGTCTAGAAGCTGTCAAGGTTCAGACACATGGCAAAAGAACGGGTGGGCAATTTTTCCAAGGAACCACATGAGAAACTGGTCCTATTGCTCAGGGCTGAACTAAGAGGTCTGTGAAAGTGCACAGGCATGCCCGCACATAAATTGGAAAAAAAACAAAAAAAACAACCACCAGTCACCTTCAGAGTAAAATCAATCCATGTGAGCCAGACAGGGGCAACTAAAGGGCTGGATGTGACTCGGGCTGTAAAATGCTGTAGAATATTTCTGACCGGCATCATAAATACGGGTTGCATCACCCAGATAAGATAAATGGTCATTTATTTAATCACTTGAAAACTGAGCGCTACCTCTGACATGCAAGGAACTCCACGAACAAAAACATGTAAAGCCTCAAAAGGCTTGTGAACATTGCTGGTGGCAATATGGTTCACAGTGAAACCTTTGCTGGCTCCTGCCGACTGTGGTCGCTTCTTGCTCTGCCTTTTCCTTTGCTTTTTTCTTTTTCTTTTCCTTTCCTTTTCCTTCCCTTCCCTTTTCTTTCCCTTTCCTCTTTTCCTTTTTCCCTTTTCTTCTGCAGCAGTTTTGAAACTTCCTAAATGCCTATTGAAGGGCTGCTGTGTTCAGCTCTGGGTCTTTGAAGTAAGCAGACTCAGCAGGCTTGGGAAGATTATGAGATTATGATTATTGATATGAGATTATGCAGCAGTGGTGGTGCAAAGAGGAAGTTTTGTCTCATTGCTGGCTTTTCTGAATCAGTTAACAGCCTGTGCCACTTCTCATCCAAGAAGCTTTGTCAGCTCTGACAGGATAGTGAGGAATGGAAGAATTTATATAACAGATTTTTAGCTGTACAATTTGGGATGAACACCCTTGGAATGGTGTGAGAGTAGGAATTGATTTTCAGAGGGGAAAAAAATTGCAGACTACAGGAACCAGGAGCATGACTCAGGTGACCCTGAGGACACAGATAAACATCCAAGGGCCTCTAAAAGGATGCAAATGACCAGCTGTCTGCAAGGAATATAAATCCTTCCCTTCCCCACCATCCTGTCAGAGCTGAAGAAGCTTCTTGAGTGAGAAGCGAAATGTCTTCAAAAGAAGAAGAAGAAGAAAGTCCAGTTGCCTCATGAAAAAAAGCACCTTTGGGACTACCTGTCCTCTATCTCCACAAAATGTCCATGCGTTATAAAGTCCTTCCTGGCCGAGCCAAACTTTCTAACTTCCACATTCCACCAAGGCTTGTGATAAGAGAAAGACCTTCTGGCACAGCCTTTATATGTAAACCTGACCCAGCCAAACTGAGTAGAGAATCCATATTAACTCTTCATGACTCTCACTTTCCGAATGATTCAAAGACAGCAACTTATCAAAGGAGTATCATTTGCTATGAAGATTCTCAGTCATCCAGGCAGAGAAGTCTGAAGGTTGTCTGAAGTTTGAATCATAACAGCTGGACCAATTTGGGTCCAGTTGCCATGATTCAACCTTCAGACAACCTTCAGTCTATTTTTTTCAAATTCAGTTGTGAATGCTCCTGAGTGGTGCGGTGGCCTAGAGGTGGAGCTCTCGCCTCTCAGTCAGGAGGCTGTGAGTTCGATCCTAGGCAGATATTTCTCTCTCTGGGCACAATGAGAATATATCTGCTGAACAAAGCTCCACATTGGCGACAGGAAGGGCATCCAGCCAGGAAACACTCAGCTCCATTCAGTTGCCCACACTCCACCCCACAAGGGATTATGGGGTTGTTAAGAAGTTGTCAATGCTCCTGTGCCAGTCCCTGGCTGTCTTCCACATCACGCTCTCATCCTGTTAAACAAGGTTTATTGAATAGGTCAGAGTTGGGTAGGCTCACCTGTCATGCTAAACCAGACTTCTAGACCAAGACAGCTGGTTCAATGTTTTGCCAAAGTCAACAAACCATAGTGTGGCTCATCCTAATGTCTGATTGTTGCCTCTTAAAGCAAGGGTCTCCAAATTTGGCAGCATTAGACTTGGGAGGACTTCAACTCCCAGAATTCCTCAGCCAGCATGGCTAGCTGAGGAATTCTGGGAGTTGAAGTCTGCAAGTCTTAACATTGTGGAACCCTTGTGGCAACTCTAAAAAGACCATAGAAATATTTTATGAGTTGAATTATGTGTGTCAGAGTCGGCTACACCCAGGCAGCGCCAAACATGTTAACTCCCAATAAATCCTTTTGACGTTTTGGAAGTTTGGCTCAAGACTCATTATTTAATTGGGGTAACTGCTGGAATCCTGACACCCTGTCTCAGTGTACCAATTTACACTTTCGTAAAGCAACCACAAAAAACCCTGCATGACTGACTGACTCACCCCTTGGAGAAAAAAAGCAGTGAATTCATTCTTGGGGGTGGGGGGCAGGTTGGGAGAACAGCTCTAAAACTGCAATAGGTTTCATAAACTTCTAGCTATGCAAATATTGTGGCTTTATCCCAGCCACTTCTGTTGTGTGGCTGGTTTAAGATAAAAGGGAAGAGAAACTGATTGATGATGTTTTCCTTTCTCCTAAGTTCCCTGGGGAAAATGAGAATTACCTGGCTATCACGGGGACGACCCATTCTTTCCTGTCAGGGGCTGAGGTGAGATGGCAACTGGGCTGGGGTTTTGCTTGCATGGACTGCGGGCGGGACAGCGGGGCGGCTCTGCTGCATGATTGGACTTGGAGTAATTTGGGGTGCCGCAAAACAATTTGCATGCTGAAGGCTGCTGATTTGTAAGGCAAGACATTTGAAGCCAGAACTGTAGACCACTTGGTTATCAATGGAGATCGAGTGGAGTAAGTGGCCAGTTTCAAGTTTCTGGGTGTTACCATAAAAGAGGACCTGACCTGGGGCAATCACATTGCAGTGCTGGTCAAAAGGGCCCAGCAGAGATTATACTGCCTGAGACTTCTCAGGAAACAACAACTGAATGAAAAATTGCTGTTGACCTCCTACCACTGCACCACAGAGAGTGTTTTAACTTACTACACCTGTGTATGGTTTGCCAATTGCACAGTGGCAGATAGGACAGTGCTCCAGAGGGTTAACATCATTTGCCCAGAGGATCATTGGTTGCCCTCTCCCCTCTTTGGAAGAGCTTTATAGCTCCTGCTGCCTTAAGAAAGTTCAAAACATTCTTAAAGGTCCATCTCATCCTGTGCACCCCCTTTTTTTTTTGAACTATTACCATCTGGCAGGCGGTACAGGACGGTAAAAACAAGGAAGGACAAATAGGCTGAAAACCAGCTTCTATCCCAGAGCAGTAACTATATTGAATTCTATTGCATAGTGCAATATTAATGCAACATCAGGGGTTTTCAATTCAATTGCATAGAATGTGAAGAATGTTTTTGTTTCAGTTTTTATAGTTTTCTTATGTATGATTTACACTGAAGATGGCATTTAATTTCGTTGTACAAGGTGTAATGATAATAAAGTACTACTACTAGTAAAGCTGATAGGCTTACATGTGATTGGATGCTTAGGAATATAATTTGCCACGGGGAAGACCCTTCTACTTGATCTCTTCCCCCAGAAAAAAATCTGAACAGTCATTTTATTAATCCACATACAGTCCCAAAGACTCTGAATGTGGTTGCTGGTTCAGCCGAGCTTGTGAAATCCAGTGCTTCTCGGATTCTTTTACTGTGCCCTTCATAATCTCATCTGCATATATTTTCTTTCAAACCCACAGAAAACCTCCCTTCCCTTTTTGACACAGGTGCTAGGTCTAGAAACCACATTTTCCTGATACAAGGGGAAGGAGGGTGTTTTTTTCTTCATTGACTCAATAAAACATAAACTCACAACAGAGGAGCCTGGGTGACATTTCCATAGAGTTAAAAACTACCAAAGCTTCCAAATAAATAAATTCCAAGCTGAAAGACCCTGGCGAGATGAAGGAACAGATGGGAAGCAGTGTCTGTGCTGTGGATAGCAATAGCACTTAGACTTCCATACCGCTTCCCAGTGCTTTTACAGCCTTCTCTAAGCAGTTTACAGAATTAGCATATTGCCCCCCAACAATTTGGGTCCTCATTTTACCAACCTCAGAGGGACGGAAGGCTGAGTTAAGCTTGAGCCTGGTGAGATTTGAACTGCCAAATTGCAGGCAGTCAGCAGAAGTAGCCTGCAGTACTCCACTCTAACCAGTGCTTTTACAGCTCTCTAAGCGGTTTATAGAGTCAGCCTATGGTGCCCCCCAACAATCTGGGTCCTTTTACTGACCTCGGAAGGGTGGAAGGCTGAGTCAACCTTGAGCTTGGTGAGATTTGAGCTGCCAAATTGCAGGCAGCCGGCAGTCAGCAGAAGTAGCCTGCAGTACTGCACTGTAACCACTGCGCCACCGCAGCTCATGTGATGGATTCCCTCTCTCCCCTTGCTCAAAGCATAGTTCCTTTATTTGCTCAGGGTCCATCCAGCCTGCTGGTGCTGTAGTTTTGGTTCATTAGTTCCTTGGTTCTCCAGCTTTTAGTCTCCTCCTCTTGTCAGATTGGTTCTCTCTTAAGTGATTATATTATTTCAGGATTGGTTAATGCATGTCCTGCAACTTGGCTTGGAAATGACCAATTTCCAAGAATGGTGTTAAAATGCACATTAGAAGATCATCCCATCTAGTCTTCCCCAACTCCTTGCCTTCAGTGCCATGTTTATCCTAGTTTATCCTCAACTGGCTAAAAGGAGAAAACTAGAAATTCAGTTTTTTGCAATTTCAAGGTGGCATACAGATAGTTTTCCACTTACAATAGTTAGTTTAGTGACTGTTCAAAGTTACAATGGCACTGAAAAAAAGTGACTTGTGACCATTTTTCACACTTACAACCATTGCAGCCCCCCCATGGTCACGTGATCAGAATTCCAACACTTGGCAACTGACTCATATTTATGATGGTTGCAGTGTCCTGGGTCACATGATCCCCTTTTGCGACCTTACAAGCAAAGTCAGTGGGAAAATCAGATTCGCTTAACAACTGTATTACAGGCAGTCCTCAACCTACAGCCACAATTGAGCCTAAAATTTAGTGAGAAATTTGTTAAGTGGGTTTTGCCCCATTTTATGACTTTTATTGCCAATTTTGTTAAGTGAATCACTACAGTTAAGTTTGTAACATGGTTGTTAAGTGAATCTGGCTTCCCCATGTCAGAAGGTCGCAAAAGGGGATCACATGACCCAAGATACTGCAACTGTCATAAATGTGAGTCAATTGTCAAGCATCCAAATGTAAATAATGTGACCACAGGGAATGCCATGATGGTCATTAGGGTGAAAAATGGTCATAAGTCACTTTTTTCAGTGCCCTTGTAGCTTCAAATGGTCATTAAGTGAACTGTTGTAAGTCGAGGACTACCTGTACCAACTTAACTGCAGTGATTCACTTAACCACTGGGGCAAGAAAGGTCCTACAGTGGAGCAAAACTCACTATAACAAATGTTTCGCTTAAGAAGAAAATTGTTGTTTTTGAGGTCATAAGTGGAGGACTATCTATAGTCCCCAGCTTGCAATCGTTCCATGTGACAAAGGCACTGGGGAAAAAAAGGAACTTACAATTGGCCCTCGCACTAATAAGTGTTGTAGCATCCGCACAGCCAAATGTCTATGGAGTGTCAGCTTTGGAAAGCTTATTCAAGGCTGCCACATAGCTTGAGAAAATGGGAGGGGGTGCCAAGGGAGGTTCATGTAAGATTTGCACAGAAAAATGTGAGAGATATTGTCTACAAGATGACGAAAGATGAGCCGATGATCTTCAAGGACAAAGAAATCTTGACCCTAAAGCAGATCCCAAAGCGAGTGAGAGAACTCAGAAAATAATATAATTTTTTAGCATCATTCCTAAATAACAACGTATCTGGTTTAGATGGTTGGTGCCAGAAGGAATGCTCGTGACCTGGCAAGAAAGAATAAGAATCGACACCATCGAGAAGGCACAGGAATTATATGAACAGTTGGTGGGAGCAGAAGAGGAAACAAGCAGTAAGGAAGAATTGGAGAGCAAGAACCAAGAAGACCAACAAGAAGATCAACAACAAGAGGTGTTAGAAGAAGAGCAAGAAGGGGGAGATAAAGAAGAGACAGATCGACCAAGAAGAGAAGGATTGCGAACAAGACCCCAGAGAGAAGCAAACTCTTTATGATAAAATAGTGGAGACAGGACAGGATGCTTGGTCGGGGACTTCAACGCTATAGTAGATATTGAAAAAGATTACACTGGCAAAGAGCATAATAGGAAGAAAAAAAAGAATTGCCTACCAAAACTATTTTTTGATTTAATAAAAGAAACCAACTTAGAGGATATATGGCGGAAAAGATACCCAAACAAAAAAGACTATACATTCTACTCAAACCTTCACCAATCTTGGTCATGAATCGATATATTGTGGACAAACAAAATAATTGGAAATGAAATATATAAAGTAGAAATAATGCCCAACATATGGGCAGATCACAATCCATAAAAAATCACTTGGAAAGGACAAAGGAAACAGACAATGAGATGGACGTTAAACACACAAATCCTAAAAGAAAAAGAATATATACAAAAAATTAAAAATTAATTGGAAATATTTTTAGTGCAAATTTAAAAGAACACACTAATTTGCAGAACTTATGGGACACAACAAAAGCCTTTATGAGAGGGATATTAATAGCCTATACAATTAGGAAAAATAAGATAGAAAGGAAACAACAAAATGAATTACAGAACAAGATTAAAGAACTAGAAAGCGGACTTCAAAAAGATCCTAAAAATATGACAATGAAAAAAGAAAGGATGAAGATTAGATGTAAATTAAATTTAACATTTTTAGAAGAACGCGGAACTTAAAATTTATAAAACTTTTTTTTTTAATCTGCTAACAAACCAGGTAGATGGCTAGCCCATAAACTAAAAGTAGAAAAGGAAAAAAGACTAATCCAACAATTGAAGGATAAAGAAGGGAATATTTGTTCTCAGATGAAAGAAAAAAACCCCATTGCACTAAGTTATTTTGGTGAGCTGTACAAACAAGAAGTTTCGGAGGAAAAGATAACACAATACTTAGAGGAGAATGGTTTGAGTTCAATTTCAGACGAACAAAAGGAAATAATAAACAGAGAAATAACACCAACAGAGCTTAAAAGAGCAATAGAAAAGCAGAAAAACAATAAAACACCCAGGCCAGATGGTTTTCCCAATGAAATATATAAAGAGATGTATGAAATATTTGAATTAATACTATTAGAGGTATATAATGAGGCATTACTAAAAGCGAAACTACCAAAGTCCTGGTCTGAGGCATATGTCACCCTAATTCCGAAAGAAGGTGCAGATCAACAAGTGATTTCAAACTATAGACCAATTTCTCTATTGAATACAGACTATAAAATATTTATGACAATTATGGCTGAGAGATTGAAACCAATCCTAAATGAAATTATATATTCGGATCAGAATTGCTTTTTGCCAAACAGACAAATCAAGAATAATATTAGAATAGTTCTGAATTCAACTGAATATTACGAAGAACACCAGGAAAAACAGGCAGCATTAATTTTTTTTGATGCACAAAAAACTTTCGACAATCTTAATTGGGAATTTATGCTACAACAAATAACGAGAAT